GGAGGAACACTCTCATCAGGGGGCAAAACAGGCTTTTGTTTTACCACCACAGGACACAAGGAGGTGGTCGAAGGGTCCGGGTTAGGGGCAGAGGGGAGGGGGATTCTTCGTGAAGGACTGAGAAAAGGAGTCACCCACGGTGGTGGGTCAAGGGAGAGATTTTCCCAAGTGACTATATAGGCCACTTGGTCCGGGTGTCCCATCGGTCCAGGAGAGAAGATTTTTGCTTTGATCTGTAAAATAACATCAGAATCGAATGTCCCATCGCGGGGCCAACCTAAGTTAAAGGTTGGCCATTCTGAGGAACAAAAAGTAATCCATCTATGCTTCTTGATCTCCACAAACTGGTTGTGGGCACGAGTTTTCACCTCCTTCCAATGATCTAAAGTCAAACTCAAAGGGGTAGTTAATCCTTGTCCCATTTCAAAGCTTTGGTTCAAACAACGATCAACAATGAACAACAGACTCTACTGACACACAGACAGACACGCAGCGCGAAGAGGAGAATTTCAGATACCGATGGCAGGGAGGTGCCCCTGCCCAGATTAGACCCACAAAAAACTACAGAGGGGGTCTCACTGATCCTGGAGTGTCTCCCAGGTCGGCAGGCAAACCTCATGGACTCATCAGTCCAGCACTTGCACTGCCCAGAAGTTCCGACGGGGCCCCACAGAACAAGTACACAGACAACACAGACAACAGTTAGCCGGCCGACTCACCTCCCTGCAAGGCTCGAGTTGCCCCGGTGGTCCCCTCTTGTCCAACAGATCTCGGTGGGACCTCCAAATGTAAGAGTGAAACCACTGAGAACAAGTCAGCCTTCGGGTTGCAACAGCAAGAGGTTTATTTAGTACACAGGTACCTGTGGGCACAAAGTCTCCTTGGAGGACTTGCGCGCCCTCATGCTGGGTTTTGGCACTTTTATAGAGCAGAAGCGGGGTACAGAAGCAGAAGCATGGTTATTGGCCCATTCAAACGAGTATAAAGCATGAGGAAGTTAAGTTGCTAAATTCTGTACTTATGGTACAGGTGTTATTTCCTGATTTCCTGGTATCGAACCCTGGGGATTGCCAGATGCAGATGGCTTGACCACTACGTCCTGTTTTTCTGATAAGCTAGTTTCTCAATGCTTGACCTCTTGTCAGGCATTCCTATCAGGTGGCCTCATGGCGCCTAGGTTTTTCACCTTGACCCTCTGAGCCATCTTCCTGGCCCTCTCCATCTAAAAATTTTTAAAATTACACCACTAACATTTAATTTTATTTATTTTTTATTTTATGTGTATGCGTGTATTGCCTGCGTGCAAGTAAGTGCACCCGTGTCCTGCAATGCCCATGGAGGTCGGAAAAGGCCGTCAGATTCCCTGGGACTGGAGCTACGGACAGTTGTTAGCTGCCATGTGGGTACTGGGATTTGAACCTGGGTCTTCTGCAAGAATAACCAGTGTTCTTAACTGCTGAACCATCTCTCCAGCCCCAACCACTAACATTTAAAGTGGGTCTTCCCAACTCAATTAACCTAATCTGAAAACTCACTCAGATATGCAAGAGGTTTTTCTCTGAAGTGATTCTAGGTCCTGTTGAGGTGACAATTACTATCAGCTATCACACTCAGCCTCAGGTTTTTCTCATAGCAGCACAAAATGAACTGAACTCCACCCCCCACTCACTCGCAGTTTATTTTTTTCTTTAGAACATACTGGCCATTTCCTGCTTTCTGCAAGTCTTCTTGCTTACCTTCTCTATTAGTTACTTTTCTGTTGCTGTGATAAAATACCATGACCAAAAGCAACGTAAGGAAGAAAAGGTTTATTTTGGCTTTACAGTAACAAAGAGAGTCCACAGTCAAGGAAAACAGGGCAGCAGCACAGCAGGATACAGGAAGGAGAGCAAGCTAGAGCTGGAGCAGAGCAGGAGCCAGGAGGCTATAAACCCTCAAAGCCCACCTCCAGTGGCATACTTCCTCCAACAAGCCTCCACCTCCTAAAGATTCCATAACCTCCCTAAACACTGCCACAACTGGGGACCAAGTATTCAAATACATGAGCCTGTGGAGGAACTTAATCATTCAAATCACCACACCTTCAGTGACAGTATTTTCTCTGAGTTTTCTATCTCTTTGCTCATTTAAAAGTGCCTTCCAAAAAATAAATTAAAATAAAAGTGACTTTCTAGGGGCTACAAAAACGGCTCAGCAGTTAAGAGCACTAACTGTTCTTTCGGAAGACCCAGGTTCAGTTCCCAGCAGCACGTGTTAGTTAACAACTGTCCAGTGGTAACTCTAGTTCCAGGGAGTCTGCTGCCCTCTTCTGGCCTCCACCTGTGGTGCACTTATATGCAGGCAAAACACTCATATACATAAAACAAAAGTAAATAAAGTGCCTTTTTTTATCCTTCTCTACCCCTTAGCTGGCTTTCTTTGTTTGTTTCTTCTTCCTGACAAGGTCTTGCTACATTTCCCAAGCTGACCTTGGAGTTAGTATCTTCCTGCCTCAACCTCATGAGTGTGAGATTACAGACAAGCCTTACTATGCCCACTACCTTAAATGCTGGCATTTCCCAAGGTTCCACGTTCAGCTCCTTCTCCATTCTGATCTCTTCTTGGAATTCATGATTCCCTCTACTTTTCATTTACATCCCATGCCACCACATCCAGACACTCAATGACTTTATGGATATCACCACTTGGATGCCCCACAGGCAACTCAAAATTATTTAATCATACACAGAACTTCTTTTTGCTTCCCATTGACAACCTTTTTTTCTCCCCAGTTTCAACCATGGATGGCTGTTGCCAGCTCTACTTGTCCTCACTGATCAGTGATTGTGTTTCTATTATCCTAGTTTCTAACAAGAGCTTCAGTCACAGAACTCTGTGAAAAGAATGACAAAACACGAAAAGTCTTTAAAAGAGAATGTTCAGTGTTGGTGAAGATACACTGTGAGGGATTCTGCCAGGTGTGGTAGTGCACGCCTTTAATCCCAGCACTCCAAAGGCAGAGACAGGTGGACCTCTGAGATCAAGGCCAACCTAGTATACATAGTGAGTTCCAGGCCAGCTGGGGCTACAGGGAGACCCTGTCTCAAAATCGATCAATCAATCAATCAATCAATCAATCAATAAATAAATAAATAAATAAATAAATAAATATTATATAAATCTTAAATGAGAAATACAGAGACAACCAAGAATTCCATTTGTATCAAACCAGACTCAGGTCTTTGCAGAGTTTATAAACAAAACATACAGCAAACTGCCACTAGGCACCATCAGAAAGTGTGTCTTCAGGGACTGGGGAGATGGCTTCATTCATAAAGTATTTGCCACACATGCATCAGGAACTGAGTTCAGATTCCCAGCACTCACATAAAAAGCCAGACACAGCAGGACACACACGTATTGCCAGCACTTGGGAGACAGACCTAAAGCTTGTGTTACTAAGAATAGGACATTTTGAATAATTAAAATTGCCATCAGTTCCCACAGCTCATCGAGTATCTTCTTCTGAAGAAATCAAAGGATTTAAAATCAAATTTTAAATGCTGTCTGTGTGGACAGAATCTACCTACATCTGGAAAATTGAAAGTTGAAACTTTGTTCTTGCTGCCAACAATTTGATGGTTTTTTTTTAATTCCCCTAAAAATCTCCTGCTATTGCATCAAAGCTCTTTGGAAGGGACACCTGACTCCCCAGGGCCTAGAGTTAAACATTAGAAGTGAAAGTCACACAGAGACCAGGAGAGATGAGTGACTATGTCTCAGTTCATTTATTTTCAAAAGCTTCCTGAGGCAAGAGCAAAGGAGAATTGAAGAACTTCCAAAAAGCGATCAGTTTTACGAGGTAAAATATCATTTCTTTCTGGGATGTGAGATTGCCTTATATAAAAACTTAGAATTGGAACTCCTGGGGTTGGAGAGACGGCTCAGCAGTTAAGAGCACTCTTGCAATGGACCTGGGTTTGAATCCCAGCACCCACATGGAAGTTAACTGTAACTGCAGTTCCAGGGGATCCAACACCCTCTTCTGACCTCCATGGGCATTGCACAACACAGTTGCACTTACATACGTACAGGCAATACACACACACATAAAAAATTAAAAATGAAAATAAATAATAGAATTGGAATTCCAGATATTTCTTCTCCATTCCTTCTTCTCATCACAGGGACATCACAATGAATATAATGATGTGATATTGTTTGTGTCTATAACGTCCCCCGAGGCGTCTATGTTAAAGCCTTAGCCCCTAGCTTAGTGCAATTGGGAGGAACCTTTAAGAGATGAGGCCTAGTTGGAGGTCTTTCCACCCTGGGGGCTGTGTGCTTGCAGGAGATTGTCAGACCCTGGACTCATCCTCCTCCCTTTCATTTCCCCTCCAAGAAGAAAATGGTCATGTCCTATCATGGATGGATGCCCCCCCCTAGGGGTCCTAGGCCCAAAGCAACAGGTTCAACTGGCCATGGACTAGAACCTTCAAAACTGAGACCCAAAATAAACCTTAATTCTTCGTAAGTTGATTATCTCAAGCGTTTGATACAGCAGTGGCAAGCTGACAAAGGCATGGGAAGTTGTTTTTATTTCTGTAATATCACGCCTCTCCCTATGACTCCCTTGTGCTGTGACAACTTGGTTAAGAAGTGATTCTTAAAACGCTTTTGCTTGGTTGTCAACTATGTGTCTTCCATGTTATCAAAACAAATTTATACTGTCTTTTCTATGTGTATGTGTGCATGTTGGAAGTGGGTGCATGTTCATACATACATGTGTTGGGCCAGAGGTTGATGTTGGCACCTTTTCTAACTGCTTTCCACCTTATTTTTTGAGACAAGGTCTCTTGCTGAGCCTGAAGCTCACCCCTTTGGCTAGCCAGAAAGCCCCAGGATCCTCCTGTCTCTGTCTCCCCAGAGCTAGAATAACAGATGTACACTGCCTTGCTAGGCTTTTTTGCAATTCAGGTCCTCACGTATGCACAGCAAATACTTTGATGACTGAGCCATCACTTCAGTCCCTAATAACTCATTTTGACCCTGAAAAATTGAACCTTTCTATTCCTTTTTGTGCTGTAAATGGAGGAGCAAGTTCTTGTGTGGAGTCCTTAAGGACCACTCTAATACTGTAATGGAAATCATGCTCAGTCCAGCCTATAAAGTTAAAGAATTTATTCTAATCACAGGTTCTAGAAAGGAATGTTTGCCAGTCATGCTGGGGACACCAGGGAAGGGGTACCAAGGGAGCAGGCTAAACCAGGCAGGTGAGGAGCCAAGAGAGGGTTCCCTTGGGAAACTGCCCTTGTTGGGGCATATCGAGGAACATACAAGCAAACATGAGATTTCATTGATCCATCAGTCGTCTCTAGGACACAGTCAGGGGAGGGTAAGAAGGTGCAGCCGAAGAAGGGATATTGTGTGTCTGCTTACCTGGATGCTCATACCCTGTTTGTGGAGATGTTGAGATATCAGTAAATTATGAAGTCTTAAAAATATACAGTACAGGGACTGGAGATGGAGAGATAGCTCAGGGGTTGAGAACACTGGCTGCTCTTCCAGAAGACCCAGGTTTGATTCCCAGCACCCACATGGTGGCTAATCATTGTCCATAACTCCAATTCCAGGGAATCTTGATACCCTCTTCTGACCTCTTGTGGGCATTGCATAACACAGGTGCACTTACATACATGCAGGCAAATATACTCATACACATAAAATAACAATAATAAATACAATTTCTTTTACTGTACAATACACCCTTACTCCGAAGGGAAGTTGGAAGGTAGCAGCAGGTAACTAATGGGCTATTTGTCAGATCCAGGATGGATTCCACATCTGCCCAGACCCAGCTTTTTGAGTGAGCTCACAAAGGCCAGGGAAGGCTGAGCCAGAAACTCAGGACTCTTCCATTCGACTGTCCTAAGAACTTCCTTCCTCTCTTCAGAGTAATAGCCTCTGTTCCTTTATTTTTTGGTTTACTCTTTTGTCAGGCAATGCACATCCTTCAATAGTAAATTTTTGAGACATCATGTGATTGGAAATACCTTCTATGCAGTGTCACACTAGAATTATAGCTTGACTGCATAGAATATTAGACTGTCAGTCATTTTCCTTTGGCTTTTGAAAATTGTTTTCCAAAGATTGGATTGAGAAGTCTGATGTCAATCTTCTTCCAGAATTTGTGCATATATTCTACTTTTTATCTCTGAGCATTTTCAGGATACTCTACCACTGGTATCTAAAAGGTATTTTATTGTAGGGGCTGGAGAGATGGCTCAGTGGTTAAGAACACTGGCTATTCTTGAAGAAGACCCGTGTTCGAATCCCAGCAACCACACAGCAGCTAACAACTGTCTGTAACTCCAGTTCCAGGGGATCCGACAGCTTCTTCTGTCCTCTGTAGGTATTGCATGATATAGGTACACTTACCTACATGTAGGCAATACATGCATACACATAAAATAAAAATAATGAATAAAATATTTTTGAAAAATAAAATAAAATTATGTATTGTATTGAGCACTGATGGACTTTTTTGTTTGTTTAAATATTTTATTATTTTTATTTTATGTGTATGTGTGTATTGCCTGCATGTAGGTAAGTGCACCCGGGTTGTCCAATGTCCGTGGAGGTCAGAAGAAGCTGTCAGATCCCCTGGGACTGGAGTTACGGACAGTTGTTAGCTGCCATGTGGGTGCTGGGATTCAAACCTGGGTCTTCTAAAAGACCAACCAGTGTTCTTAACTGCTGAGCCATCTCTCCAACCCCAAGCACTGATGGGCTTTTTTAAAAGATTTGTTTTATTTGTGTGTGTGTGTGTGTGTGTGTGTGTGTGTGAGAGAGAGAGAGAGAGAGAGAGAGAGAGGTGTGCAGGTGCCTCTGAGGCCAGCAAAGACTGTGAATCCCCTGGACCTGTTCTTACAAGAGGCTGTGATGCTACCTGACACAGATACTGGGAACCAAACTCAGGTAGTGCAAGAGGAGTGGCAAGTGCTCTTTAGCACTGAGATAACTCTCCAACCCCATTGATGGGCCTTTAAATCTAGTCAGATCTGTCCTTCAAACCTAGGAAGTTTTCATATTATTCCTTTGATCATTTCCTTGGCTAGTGACCTTTAATTTTGCACCTCTTGGATTATCTACATTCTCTTGTTTTTGTTTTCGCTCATTAATCACCTCTCATATTTTATTTTTTCAGCACTGTGGACCAACCCAGAGGCCTTGCATTTGCTAAGCCAGTGCTCTACTTCAGAGTTAAATCCCCAATTCTACCTCTTAGATTTTATTTTTACTTCATTATGATTAGTGTTTCTATGATATATCTTTTCTATCATTTTATTTTTAACTTACCTGTGTCATTTATGTGCTGTGCATCTCCCATAAACATACACAGTAGAATCTTTTTTATTCAGTCTGACAACCATTACCTTTTAACAGGCTTAGTTTGTCCATTTATATTTAATGTAATTATTGATATGGTTTGGGTTCAAGTTATGCTATTTGTCTTGTATTTGTTGTATGCGTTCTTCCTTTTTAGCTCTCCTTTCTTGAAAAGTATTGATTAATTGAATACTTGTTCTAGTTTCCTTTCTGTTCCTGT